ATTAGAAATCCACTTTTGGTTTACAGCATGCCTGCTGAGTTAAAGGCTGCAGCCGAAAAGTCTTCTTGGCCGAGGAAGGTTCCTAACTGAGTGAAATGATCCAGATGGCAGCAATGATACGAGCGGGTCAAATTCCCAAAATGCTTAGGAAATACTTTCTTTTTTTATCTCCTTTAGCATTGTATACACTTTACAATCCTTGAAAAACAAGTAAAGGAGATAATGCATTCCCACAATTGTTTGTAGCAGCAACATTTAAAGCTCTTGTATAATTAAAAAGCCTAGTGTAAGTGTAGTCTGATTCTCTTAGCACCATGGAAGTCTTTTCATAATTTCCCCTTTAAATCTTTCCTTCTCATGACGTTTTTCATGGAGGGCAAGGAAAAGTGTTGAGGAAAAGACATTGGACATCATTTTGTGCCTATTCAACCGCAGCCAACCTCTTTCAGGTTCATCCGTCCAGATGAAGTGTTATCTGTTCTTCTTCTTGTCTTTTTTGCTCTTGGTCGTTGAGCTTTGAGGGGCTTTTGAGGAGATGGCGATGGAGTGACCGCTGGTCTTCAGATGGTCGAACAACTTGTTTCTTGTGGGGAACTCAGTGTGGCAGATCACACAGTTGAGGATTACTTCCTTCTGGAAGGGGAAATGGGTCATGAGATTTAATATCACAAGTATGGATCATTTTCTTACAGTAAATCATGTTCTAAGATTGATTTTGGTAACTCAAAATGTGTAATGATAAATTATTAAAAATATAATGATAACAAATCTAATGATTAAAAATCTCTGCTATAAATACTGTGTTTAACTGAACAAACCTCAGGACAAGTTTTTTCTTCTTCTTCTTCTTCTGTGGTTGACTTTGCATTCTTCGTTTTGTCCTTTCCTCCCGCCTTCTTCCCTTTGGTCTTCCCAGAGCTAGGCAACATTCAGATGACAAATAAGCAAACATTTAAGAAAAGACTACAGAGACATTACAGTACAAACAAAGTGTATGCTACCTACCCAACAGTAAACAAAGTTAGTTTTATTTTCTTGGTCCCCTTTGAGCAGAATGTATATGAATAATCAGCCATTATTGCCGAAATGTTCCTGCCCCAGAGCATGAAACCACCAGTCGTTCCAAAGACTACAGATTTTTTAACAAATCCTAAGAACCAGACATTGACAAGTTTCCTTAAGAATACTATAGAGATCTGTACAGACCTCTTCACTTCTGTGGGGGCGGGATCATCCTGTTTCTCTGACTCTGTGGGGGGGGCGGGATCATCCTGTTTCTTTGACACTGTGGGGGGGGCGGGATCATCCTGTTTCTCTGACTCTGTGGGGGGGGCGGGATCCTCCGGTTTCTCCGCCTCTGTCGGGTTCTCTGACTTCTCGGGGGCACCTTCCTCGCAGGTTGTCGGTGTCTCTTCCTCTTCCTCTTCCTCCGGAGCACTCTGCTATACAGGAGAACACAATGAATACAAAGAAAGCTTATTGTGAAGGTTCGATAAACCTTTAAACAAAAGAAAATCTATTATTCACCTGTGCTACTTTCTGCAGTTTCTTTTTCCTCTTTTGCTTCTTGGACAGCCTGTGAAGGTGAAATAAAGATTGGATACATTATAGAAAATGCTGATGCTCTTACCACCCTGAAAAGCATGAGTAAAGTGAGTAAGTGGCTGCATACCTTTGCCTTGGCTTGTCTTCCTCCTCCTCTTCCTCCTCCTCATCATCTTCCAGCTTATTTTCATCCTTTCCGTTCACATTCAAACGAAGTGAATCATCTTCCTCCTCCAGCTGTTGCCGTAGTAATGCCACCATCTCCCGGTGCTTTTTGGATTTTTGATGGTTCTTCATGCTGTTGAGAAGAAGATAAACAAACTATAAAATAAAATGTAAAAAAGGTAATAATACAGCAGATTAAGCAAGTAAAGAAAATAAATGCCTTTTACAGATATATATATATGTATATATATATATATATATATATATAATATATATATAGTTACTAATTATATACATATAATATACAACATACTATGACCAATTGTCCAAAGCCAAATGACTCACGCTTTATCTGATTTGAAGGATTTGTCACAGGCTGGGCAGTAGAGACTTTCATAATAATCATCCATCGTCAGCTCGTCTCCATTAGGCTGTTCTACATCTGCAAATGAATATTTAAACATTTAAATAAAAAGGCACCACACACACAAACTCAAACTTAAAAGAATCTCTGGAAGAAGCTGACACCATTGGCTAGCGCGACGTAGCATAAGACGCTGCATTTGAGATTGTTATAACATGTAAGTGCTGAAGTATATTGAGTCTCACTGACCGTCTCCCTCATCACCGTTCTTCTCCTTTGGGTCTATTTCCAACTCTTCATCTTCACTTTCTGATCCATCTCCAAACTCCTTTCCATACTGAGCCTCCATCTGCTGCAGCTCCTTCTCAAGTTCAGACATGGCCGCCCAGCTCTGCTCCTTGTAGTCCTCTGCCATTCTGGTATGGATATATATCAAAGTATAATGAGTATGATGACTAAAGAGAGACAAATACATGTCACAATGAAGTCACTATGCATCCACCACTTACTTGGCATGGCTAAGCTTCTGCTTCCTCCTCATCTCCTCCGCCTTCTTGATCTTCTCAGCATTCTGCTCCTCCACCAGCTTCCTGTGGGCCAGCACGCGCCGGTCACGCTTGCGGACAAAAGCCACGAGTTGTCGCACAAGCTCGTTGCGCTCTTTCCGAGACTTCTCTCTGGTCTTCTTGTTATCCTTCTCCATAGCTCTTTTCTCCCAGCGGTTGGATGCGTGCCTCGTATCATACTCCTCCTTCCAGGCAAAGTTTTTACGAGTGCAGAAGCTCTGCCAGTAGCCGTAAAACACGTGCACTACCTGTAATATGGAAATAGAGACAGATTAAACACACAAGCTGCGTAAAAGTAAGTCTTTCGTTTTGTTTTATTTAGAGAAAGTATCATGGGAAACTATTTTAGTAATTTAATTGTATAAAGAACATCTACAAATCCAACAGAGGAACGAGTTTTGAGACAAAAGTGTGTTTTTTGCTTACAGTATCATAGTCACTCTCAGAGTCTCCAAAAGTAGGAAAATCCTCTTCATCATCATCGTCTTCCACCTTGCTGTGCTCCATCTCCTCCTTAACAATGGACTCAAAGAGGTTTCTGTAGACTGTGTAAAAACTCTAAGGGAAAGACAAATTGATTAGTGATTGATCCATTTCCTTGCCTGAAGATGATAACAGAAATGACCTGGTTGAAGGTTTGATGTGACGTTTGTGAGTTTGGAAACAACATGAACTAACCTTCTCGTCATCTCCGAAGCCAGAGTAGCAGGTGACTGTGAAATACTGCAGGAGGTCAATGCTGTCATCTGCATAATCTCCAGTGATTCCTCCTTTCAGAAGAGCCTCTCTGTGATTGTCATACCTGCAACACAGAGGAAAACCGACGTATCAACCTAAGGCTTTTTTAACCCACACAGTTTGTACATACAAAAAAGTTTTAGAGAAATATATGACTCTTAACATCCAAGCCCAGCAAATGTCATAATGATTGCAACTGTTGAAATGAGTGTACAAACCAAGCTCTCTCCTGTGGATCACTTAGGACATCATAAGCTGCCTGAATCAGCTTAAAATACTCCGCCGCCTCATCAGGATTGTCCAAGTTTTTATCTACAAAATGTCATATGGAAGCAAAACACTGTTGTTATAGATAGGAAGGTTTGAGAGAATAATAGCCATATAATTCACCATCATAATGTCATGTCACTCTAAAATGGCACATAAGCTCTTAGCAAACCTAAGAGTGAACCACTATTCAATTAGGATAAATGACCAATGCGTCAATATTATTATTCCACTGTAATACAGATGCTTTTACATCAGATAGTGATTATAATGCTATTTACTAGGTCCATGAGATGTTGTACGTACCTGGATGCCATTTTAATGCTAATTTACGATATGCTTTCTTCAATTCATCTTCTCCTGCGTCTCGTTTCACGCACAATATTTCATAGTGACACTTCATTGTAAGCTAATGGTTAAGAAAAACTTCACTTTAGAAGAAGTGATTAGATGTCCGTTGACAGACGAAGCTAACTTTAGCATCTACCTATGCTAACTGCAGCATGCTAGCATAAGAGCAGCTTTAATTGACCTGTTAAACTATCCTTACTTCTCGGATGATAGCCAGAGTATATTAATATTTAGCGTAACATATTACAATTATATAAATATATAATTTTTGATAGAACCGATACTTTAAGACCGGTTGTTGAAACCATAATCAATGGATATATCTTTAATGAGTGGTGCCGCTAAATCTCGCGAGAGTTGCTCTTCTTCACTATAATTTCGGCAGATAAGAAGCTGTCATCGAGTGGTGCTGCCTTCTAGCGTTTCAATTGGAATCAACATATTACTCAGCTGTGCATGTCTAGCCCATGGATGGATTATTTATAACTTTCTCTACCCTGTTCTGTCATTGAAATCCTGACAGTGGCCCTAAGGTCAATATAATACATTAAATGCATGTTACATTTAAAAGAATTATAAAATAAGATAATTCAATCGCTTTTTCATTCCAGTTTGTCAAACATTTCTGAAAAAACCTTCTTCAGGAGCTGGTAGAACCTTTTGGTAAGAAATATTGAATGCAAAAAAGTTTATCAAATTATTTCTTTTAAATAATTTGTTTAATTTCATAATAACTGTAAAAGAAATACTATATATATTTCTCTCAGCATCAGAAGCATGTTTGGTTTTGATTGTTTCTTTGAGTTCACAGAAAGTGCAAGACTACTCAACAACACTTTTATGTCTCTGTGTATGCGATGCAAATGTGTAATGTAGACCACTTTGATTTATAAGGTAACATTTTAGTTTGGCTGTGTGATTTATAGTGTGCACTATGCAGTACCACCTCCTCGCCACAGGGGGCGCTTCCTCTGCTCTGTCCGCACGTGTGTTGTTGGAGTCCGATTCTGCGCGAGATCTGTGTCGGCGTAAAAAACATGTCGGCGTTCAAGAGAAAACGTGGAGGACAGGCTCCTGGAAATAAAAAAGCAAAGAAAGCAAAATTTGTAGCAGATACAAGTGAAGCACCGAAAGAAAATGAACAGGAGAAGACACATGAAATTACAGTTCCAGCACCGGTTTCACAGGTAAGTTGTTTTGGTTGTTATTAGCCACAGACGATGGTAGCTAAGCTAAGTTATTACACGGGGGTTTGTTTTATCTAAGTTATTTCTTGTAATTATTATACTTAATCACTTACAACCTGTAGCTTTATCATATACATTGTTTTTAATAAAGTTATTGTTGTTAAAACTTTAATCTATGGTCAACACTCACACAACAGGGCCAAGCTAAAATTGGATTTCCTGACTATTATTTAAGATTAAAAGTCCATTTGAATCAACGGGGAAATGTCTGAAACTCTACAATTATACACGGTTTTTATTTGTTTTATATTCTAAATTAACTTCTCTTGAACAGGGCAAATGGAAAAACAAGGAAAGGGTTCTAATTTTCTCCTCAAGAGGCATCAACTACAGAACAAGACACATGATGCAGGACCTGAGGACCATGATGCCTCATTCAAAAGCAGGTTAGTGCCTGTTGTCATATAAAGAATCATTCCTCTCAACCAACAAGTGCTGTCTCCACTTTATCACCCATGTTGAGATAATATGTTGTCATTTACGCTGCCGTATTAATGAGGTATTTCTTTGTGTTTGTCAGATACAAAGATGGACAGAAAGGACAAGCTGTTTGTTGTTAATGAGGTGAGTGTGCTACTCAAAGTTTGAACACCATGTTTTATCACATGCATTACAGCATAACTGAACATCTGCATTTCCCCAGGTGTGTGAGATCAAAAACTGCAACAAATGCATCTTCTTTGAGGCCAAGAAGAAGCAGGACCTCTACATGTGGTGAGTATTTGATCTATGTTACATTCTGAGATTAAGATTTTGTAGTGAGTGGTGTAGAACATATTTAAAGCAAATTCATGTATATTCTTACCTTACAGGGTTGCAAACAGCCCTCATGGACCTTCTGCAAAGTTTCTGGTTCAAAACAGTAAGTACCGTTTATGTAGTTTATTTATATTTGTTTCGGTTTGCAACAAAGGAACTACGGACAGAATGCAGAGCTACTTAAGCAAAGTGAGACGATGCAGACAATTTGTTGTTAAATAATGTTCTTATAGCAAACAAATGTGTGTCTCATTTGTATTTCATTGGATGCAATAAAAAAATGAACTCGCTGTATGGACCATGGGCCGCCCTGCTATCTAAATATCAATCATCGGCCATTGAAAAACCCCATATTGGACAACTACTTATTGTATATGATTGTTTCCTCCTCAGTTCACACACTGGCTGAACTCAAGATGACAGGAAACTGCCTCAAGGGATCCAGGCCGCTGCTGTCCTTCGATCCTGTAAGTAGCATTGGGCCGAGAGAGACATGTTTTCAGTTATTTAAATATCTTATCATTCATCTTTCATTCATCATTATTTAATATCTCTTCAGTGGTGTGCAACAAATACCTGTCCTTTCGTCTATTTACAATGAAACATTATTTGTACTATAAACCCACTCATTTCTAATTTGATTCTGATGCATTATGAAAAATAAAAACCTCCACACTCTTTACACCAGGGGTACTCAAACTTTGTTGTTAAAGGTCCACTTGTGAATTTTATACAAGGTCACTGGTCCGGATCAGTGCCAGTAAAGTCCCCCCCTGAATATAAGAAGCAGTTTCAGCGCGCTATGCATGGGGCCCCCTTGAGGGGGTTTCCCGACATGTCATTGCAGTAAATTAAAGGGTGTTTCATGTTGTCGTTGCTGTGGACCTTCTTAAATCTACCTTCTTTGGGGGCCCCCTTCTGGTCCAAGCACTTGCCTGCCTTGCCTGTCGGCAAACGGCGCCCCTGTAAACCCACACATTCAATTCATACATACAGTATGGTGGCTTGAACTAGTGGGAGAAATGGCACTGTTTGTCTGTAGCCAATGCCTTGAACCTCGGCAAAAAAGGCATTAGAAGCTTTAGAAAGTCAAGGTAACTTGCGGTCTGCAAAGCGTGTCACGCTCGCGCACACAAGTAAATATATATGCACGTTCATTCTCACAACACGTCAGACACAAGAAAATATACTACATTTGCATCAGAATCTGATTTGTTTTTTTTTAATAATGGGACACAGGGTTCGGTCCGGATTGATTTGCAGTTCAGTCCGGATCCGGAGCTTGGTCCGGAGTTTGAGAAGCCCTGCTTTACACTATTAGTAAATCATTTCACATCAGCGATCTTAGTAATGAGGGATCTTGGGTTTCTCAGTTTATGGTACAAACCGGCTGAAGTACGCATTAATGCATGCTTCTCGCACTATTTCTATTCTATTTTATTTGTATTTACTTGAACAATTTTATCTGTTGTATTGTGTTGGACTGTTGGAGGAGCCTGTGACCTAAGATTGTAATTGACATAACTTCACTGTAGCTATGTACAAATGACAATAAAAGCCTTGAATCTTGATGGATGTTGTTGGTTTTCTGCACAGACATTTGACTCGGAACCTCACCTTGCTGTACTGAAGGAGCTCTTCACCCAGGTATGTGTACAAGATGCAAACATGAGCCATTAATATACAATTGGTAATAATCTATCAAATACCTTTTGTTCAACTGTAGCCAGAGGATGGCATTGTGCAAATGTGAGATGTTTACTGTAATGTACAACCATTAAACATTACGTTTATTTTGTGTTATCTAAATTGAGATAGACAGTGTTGTAGTAGTTTACTTTGTGTAATATGACTTTGCTGTTGTCATTGATTTTATATATCCAACAATAAGCAAGCTTTCATTTGTTAGATCACTAAGAAGTCAGTATATCTGCATTTTTCTTTTTTTTAATTAAAATATATTTTATTTGTTTTAGACCTTTTCCACCCCGCGGTACCACCCTAAGAGTCAGCCCTTTGTGGACCACGTCTTTACATTCACCATTAATGACGACAGGATATGGTTCAGAAACTACCAGGTAATGTTCCACTATTCCTCACAAGGCTTTAATCCTCTTCTTTAGTTGGGTTCAGTGTTCAGACTTCATTAGAAATGTTGTAACTTTGCAATAATTTTTCTGTGCCACTTTCAGATCATGGAGGAGGACGCCGCTCTTGTGGAGATCGGCCCTCGCTTTGTTCTCAACCTCATCAAGGTCTTCCAGGGGAGCTTTGGAGGACCTACGCTCTTTGAAAACCCCAACTTCACATCTCCTAACATGGTGAGGATCCACTGTATGCTAGTTTAGATTATAAGCATGTGATGTGATATAACTTTAGAAAAAAAAGTGTCTGACTTTTTGTCACCTTCCTCTTCACACACCTCCAGCACCGGAGACAGATCCGACTAGCCGCGGCAGCCAGAGTGCGTGAGAAGCAGATGGTGAAGGAGTTGCAGAAACTGAAGCGAGCTGGAACAAAGGAGGACGTGACTATAGATGTTACAGCTGACGTCTTCCTGACACCGGCTGATGAGACGCCGGTTCTCATTCAAACGGAAGCGCCTGAGCCCAAAGTAGTGAAGAAAAACAAACACAAAGCTTTCAAAAGGCAAAGGATGGCACGCAAATAACTGGATGGACTGGAATACGCTGAGTGAATGGCTTACTGTTGCCATGGTTCAATGTTGCCTCCAGTAAATGTGGTGATGCAACATTGCAGTCATGATTAAAGTCCGATATGAGTTTTTTGTTAGCATACAAGAAGATTTTATGTACAACTTTTCATTTAATTATCAGTGACGGTATTGGAGGATACTGGCCTGCACATGTTTTGTTTAATATCTGTTGGCATATTTTATATTATACTCCCTCACTCTGAAATACTGTGTAAACTGTAGCTGGCCATTGGAGTCTCAGCTTTAACAATACTGCAAACAATGTTTCCATGCCTTTTTGATAAAAGTAAATATTCCATCAGTGTAAAAAAAACAGTATTGATTTTGAGTGACTAAAGTTGTTTTCTATGTCATGAAAATTAAACAATTTAAACCTACTGTCTGTGTTATCTGATATATACTCAAAACAAATGGTTGTCAAATGTGTCAGTATACACATTCAACATGGCAATGTATGTGTAGAGATGTAGAGAAATTGAAGGCCTGCATTGCCTCACATTTAAATAGAATATCTTATTTTATTAGCCATCATCCAGCTCACTGCATGTGTCAAAAAGGTGCAATATCTAGAAAACAAACATTGTATGAACAGATGTGGCCACAATTAAACAACTTTGTTGGCTCAATAAGTTAAAGGCAATTAACATAGCATAGCAAGAGATATGTGAACCAAAACACCTGTCTCCATATTAAACAGTAACTATATACAATTGGTTTGTCTATGAAATGATGTACGATGGTGGTTTAACTGCACACAGGTACCTAACAAGATCAAACCGGTACCCAACAAGATCAAACCGGAACATTATCTTTCCCCAGATCCAGCAGCAATGCTCCAAAATGTCTTGGCAATGCTCATTTAAAAATGGAGATTCCTCAGTCCTCCGCCACCTCTTCGTCAGGACAACAGTAATATTCTACAAAGCAGATCTGTCCATCGTCATTCCTGACCAGGTACTGCAGAGAGAGGAAGCCCCTGCTGTCTGTCCTCACAGAGACCTTACAGGACAAGGCCAGGGCTTTGGTGGAGGGCTTCAGCAGAGACATCTTGTACCTGTCACAGGGAGAACAGGGTTAGAACTCATTGCAGACATATAGATAAACTAACTGTCCTCAGTGTGTGGCTAGAGGTGGTCATTATAAGGAAAGGAAAATGTGACAACAGTTAGTGAAACACTTTTTCTCAGTGCTAACCTGTTGGTTTGTGTCTTGGTGCATTTGAACAGCTCCATCATGTCAGAGTCCTTGGGATAATCGTAATGGGCATTTCCAGAGTTCCCAAATGTAGACAACCTGAAGGGCAGAACAAACAAATGAACACTGTAGCTGAAAGGAAGATGTGTGATTCCTTTACCTTGACAGATTTAATCGTTAATGCAGGATGACCATTGCTTTGCTAAGGTGCTGAAAGTATCAAAGAGTCCTAACTGATAAACACTAAAGGTATAACACTGCATTGATATAAGTGTGTGGATATCTCCTTTAATATCATCATCGGTAGGATTATTGATTGAAAATTAAATGTTTATTTTAAGTTTAAACCATCAAATAATGAACCAAATCCTTTAAACATGATACTGTAGGACAAGTAGTGATGCTTCAAAATGCTATACAAGTTGTGTATTAAACACACCTGAAGTATGGCTGGCTGGGGGACATGGTGATCTGCAGCACCTCGCTGGTCATGTCGAGCTCGGAGAAGGCTTCCTTCAGACTCTCTGACTGCAGGATCACCTTTAAAAAGAGGTCAAAGCGTAGTTATAGGTGGTCTATCGCTCTCAATAAACATGCGGATACTCATATGTATCCCTTATTGGCTATTAAAGTAAGTAACATACATTGCAAGGAAACAGAAAAGTAGTTTATCGCTTTCATTACACACAACGTTCACCTTGTTTGTGACGTTGGTGCTGCAGAACTCAAAGTCAACTGGCTCTTCTGGTTCTTGGGTGTTGATCTTGCACACTGTCACTACCCCCCCCTCCTCCAGGAACAGGGTCAGAGGGTAACCGTACCCCTTGTAACACATCCGCAGGGCTGTTGATACTCCTGCAACAACACACAGGGAGGAAATGACAATGGATATTAATCTAACTTCTTAGTAAACTGTGTTTGAACAGATTATTTTCCATTTCCTTTTATTCACCTGGAGCTGTGCTTCCTCCAAAGATATTGAGGCAGTCCAGCAGAACAGTGAGGTTGATCTGAAAACCCACCGAATCTTCCTTTATCGTGTACTCCTGGAAGATTTCAGACTGGAATAAAAGCAGACTTGTCAGTTTGTGTCTCAATTTGCAGGATACTTTTTGAGGACTATATTATATTAGGATACCTCTGGTTCCTGATAACTCTGATGGATATTATTTTAAGTATGACTATCATAATTTGGAGGAAACCAAGACTCTGCTGCTTTAAACTTGATCCAACAAGCACAAGGATTATTAAACACGTAAAGCGGTCACACCTGGATGAAGGCATTGGCCTGCATACATTTGGAGTCCTCCACAGTGACCTTCAGTCCATTGGGTGTGGCGCTGAAGATGGCATGGTCTTTGAAGGTGATGGCTTTCAGTATGTTGGACAGATTGCGAGCATTATCCAAACTTGCCACTAAAACGTACTGTTCCGCATCGCCTTGCGACTGGGTTGACAGAGGCATTGTGACACTGTAATGAAGACATAAAGGACGTTTAGACTACAGCAAATGTTCAGGGGGCTACAAAACTGCACACAACTATGAAAAAAGCAGCAAGTTTAGGTATATTTCGGTGCATACTGAATACAATTTTCCTTGAGAAATCAGAGGCAAACAAATAAAAAGGTTAAACAGGTACCATACATGCACGAAGCTGTCATTTAGCTGTCTGTTTGTGACTTATTTCAAGCTAGGCTATAGGATCACATTTACTAAACTACGTAAATATTTAACCGAGGCTGATTCCAGTGCCATTTAGTGTACTGTTGACCATTCCCGGTGAACTAACGTTATAAATGGTTTTAAATTATACTGTAATAATGCGTCAGAAACTTACAAAGATGTAATTCAGTATCTCGTGTCGTTGTTTTGAAGAAAGGCGCCCTTTTATCATGGATGCCTTTTATGTATCAACTTCCGGTTGTCTCTTCTACACCGGAAGTCGGTTCTGCGCATGTGTTGATAATAAACTTCCAGAGACTTCGCAGCCGAAAAACACAGGAGAAATATCCTGTCTTCAGCGGCAATACGTGACAATAGTGGTGTTTCGTAGTCCAAAGAGGTGAGAATTAATACTCAGCTAAGGTTATATGGCTTAAAACATACTGTTAACTCTGTAAGAGGTATAATACCTCATGTCAGATGTCAGGAAGCTGGCATTAGCTGCTAACAGTCCATGATGACGGTGTATGCTAATCAGTAACGATACGTTAAAAAACGATTAAATGTCATCTGGAAGTGACTCAACCCTGGATGTATTAAGACAACCCTCATCATGACAATTTGGAGTTCAAAGGAGAGATCAAAACAGCCTCTATAATGCTTCTATGGACTATTTGAACAAAAATTAGTCTCTTTAACACCAATTGTACTGACAGGTCGCTGGTTTACAAACCTCACTGCTTTGAGAACTAGTAGATAAATGCATAATACAAGTTGTTATTAGATGATACGGAGAATAGTCTTAAGGGGATACATTTGGCATCTTGACACTTGAATTCTACGTGTTTAGTCACCCTTGTTAAGATATGTCCATAACACAGTCCTGGTTGTCTACAGATACATCACTGCACTATGAATAACAAGTGAAGATATACATTTTGAAGTTGGACAAAACCAAGGATGGGTGCAATTATGTTAAAATGTATTCAGTCACTGAATACAAAATACATGACATTTTTTAACATTATCCATTAAATTGCAAAAAAAAAAAAATGGGAACAAATCTATACTTCAAATATTGAAAATATACAATGTTTGGGTCAGGCAGCTCCAAATAGCCACCTAGCATCACCTAGCATCACATAGCATCACACGTAACACATGACTAAGATAAAGGCACAATATTAATATGTTTTTTCTTGATGTTGTTATTTATATTTAATAATATATTTGACCCTTCTTTAACTCTGTCTTCTCCCTGCTTTAGGTTCTTTATTGTGGGAGTCCTGTCAAAGCAGCAGTCATGGTGTGCATCCCCTGTATTGTGATTCCTGTCCTATTGTGGGTCTACAAGAGGTTCCTGGAGCCTTACATCTATCCTTTCATTTCACCCATAATTAACAAATTCTGGCCCAAAAAAGCAGTCCAAGAGAAGGCTACTATTGACCAACAAGTTACCAACAACAGTAATGGGACTCAAAAGGTAAGTTATTTGTAAATTAATGATTTTATTATGATATTTTATCAATAAAAACCTTTTTCCTTTTATTAATTAAGTTATTTGTGAATGGCTGTAGGTATCAACAGTGTACAATGAATATACGTAGAATGTATAGTATTATCTATTTATTGTATTTATTTGTTAATGCCCTGTTCATGTGCAGGGGATTTCAGATAATTGCTTTAAAATCTGTCAAAAAATATCTGTTTCTAAAACGGCCTAACAAGAACCACTTAAATACAGCTCATCCAGACACTCTAGAGGAGGGGAAGCAGCAGGCGGTTAGAGAAATGAGAACTCCTCTCCTCTGAGCGGTCATTTTAAAGAGACGTCCATTAATGATGACAGGAGGCACAGCACTCTCTGTCTGATGGCTGAGACTGCCAAGGCACACATATTTACTTTTAATTCATTGACAGTGCAGTATAATGAGACAATAACAGGCTAAATGCGGAAATTTGAGTATTGAGAAACCTCTACTGAGTCTATTTCTTCACATTTATTATCACATTTAAAGTGATTGAATTTTCAGGTTAAGTTGGTTTTTAGTTTGCCTAACCATGACTGATACTGTTGTTGGTGTTTAGAGTCTCTTATATGATTGAAGGTTGTGGATAACATAATTTTAATGTTTTACTTCTCATGTATTTCAGCCTGAAAGCAACGGTGAAGCCACTGCCAACGGATCCACAATAGCAGCAGATAAGAAGACAGATTAACAGCTCTAAATGTTTATAATGCTTCTGAAACAATGTAAATATGCCAGTAATATAAGATAGAGAAACCATACATTTATTTATCATACTTTTTTCAATAATTGGTTTTAACCTTCCATATTGTCCAGATCTTGTATGTATTTTATTCCATTTGTATAACAGTAACTTTAAGAGATTGGTTATAATTGATATTCTTTCCTTGTTAATTATGAATTGATTTATAAATGTACTGTGTTGATTCTTCACTCTCTATGGAAACATTTTTCAATGTGGATCTTGTAGTTTAATGAATAATAATAATAAAAAAAAACCTTCAGGTAAAATAAGATGCTCATTTATTGATCCTATACCAAGATGGACCTGAAGCGTCCTCACTTCATATTTTAATGTCAATAAGGGTTTGATTTTGTTTGTATTTTAAACTATATCAAATAGCAGCATTATAATATTTGTAAATATATAGTTTAAAATATATCACTGCAATAAGTCTTTAATCACATATTTGAAAGAAAAAAGATTAAAGCAGTTTGATCACATGAGACATAAACTGTAAGATGTCAGATAAAACCATCGATAAAACTAAGAAAATAAATGAATACACGCACACCTGCATACATCACACATTAATACATCCTGTGCGTGTAATATTTGTTCTCAACTTTTGTTGAGGCAAACTGAGCTTAATCAAGGGAAAAAAGGACATTATTTTTAAAAATATGATTATTTTTTGAACCCACACAAGTCTAAAATGTGCATGGATCTTCATATTGATTATATTCAGCCATTATAAATATGATACTAGCCTGTGTTAAGTGTACACTTTAGAAGGGGTTAGAAAATATACATAGAAAATCTAAGTTTAGATCAGGCAGATCTGTTTGCCCTATTTCTATCTTCTACGTCACCTACGTAATAATATGTCGTCATTACGCAAGGGGTGACGACGTGGAAAACATGGTGGAAAGGAGTATGTAGAGTAAACTTAATTGTCGCAATTTAGCTACAGTTTCAAGTATTTGCGCACTGAAATTACACTTGACTATCAAAATTGGACAAAGCTCTTAATTTGGGGAAGCAACCGTCGCCTTTTAACGGTCCTGGGAGTAGAGAGAGCCGCGGTAACTACGAGAAGCATTTCTGACAGGTAAGCGGTCAGCTGATGGAAAACAAGCCATGAATGTTAGCTACTCTCTGGACACTGAGTAATAAAATGCCAATAGTTAACAGGACATGCTCGTGAATCAGTAACTTATCAAGCTATGGGTTTATCAGACGTGTGACTGTCACTACACCGTGTATACACTCACATTTGCCAAGACTATTCCTTGCACTGGAAACAGGATGAGCTAGCTAACGTCATTCAAGTTGCTTAACTCAAGGAGCAGATGCAACTGGAGATGCTTGAGATATCACACTGACACAACATTTGGAAACTCGCTGGTGATCTGGCAAAGTCTCAATTTTCTGTTAGCTAGCACTAGACAACAAGGAGTTCATGCAAATGGCATGTTCAGCACAGCTCAGATCTCAAGATTCAAGGCTTTACTGTCATGTGAACAGTAGCTACAGTGTAGATGTGGCAATGAAGTAAGTCTTACATATCTGTGCCTGTTATATGACTATTACTAGGTAAAAATGTACCATCTCTTTGGTTTACCACAATTGTGTTCTTATAATGTTATCAATTTACTGGGCAAATGTTCTCTCGCTGGCTACACCTGTGTGCTAAAGGTGTGTCATCACACACAACACAGGTCCTGGTTTCTATGTTGCATCCTGTATTGAACCTGAACTCTCTTTTAAATTAATGTATGAATGTGAGGATGGATAATTTTGCTTTCTTGATTTTACATAGATGGATAACGGGTTATTTGAATATCAGGGCGGGCTCAACATTAAGTATTAGTATAACATCCTCTGCAGTGGCTTAGACATGCATAGTTCGTCTGTAGTAAAGGTGTTCATTATTTTTGATGGCATCAATAGCTAAAGTATTTTCTCTACCCCAGGATTTGGCATATGCCTGGTGAAGAAGCAAGAAGAGTGGTGAGTCTGGCTGAGTGGAGCCAGTAGAGAGCGATGGGAGCCAACACCAGCCAGGTCAGTGACCTGTCCGACAACCCCAGCCTCAGGACCCTGGTGGGCACCGAGTCCATATCAGAGAACGATCCTTTCTGGAACCAGCTCATCTCCTTCACCTTCATCAGTCCCACCAGCAGGTAAACAAACACATACACACAACCAGAAATGTCTTTTTCAGGAATGTATCAAATACTGCACATTTCCTGGTTGCAGCTTCATGTTACCTTTTTTGTTTTTGTGGTGTCTTCATGTTGCACTGTTAGAGGAGCCTGTGAAGTTTTTCTTTGCCATATCTACACTGTAGCTACTGTGCATATGGCAATAAAGCCTTGAATCTTGTATGGTGAGAATACCTTAGGCAAATAATAGCTATGATAAGGTCCACTTACTAGCTTTTTCCATGGTTTTCAGTCGCATCTCATCATGATTATGACATTAAATATGCTATAAACTCCTCAGTGTCAATAACTTAGTTCTTTGAGTTTTTTTCACTGCTTAGTTGTCAATTATTTACATTTCTTACTTTGGTTCATTTGATCACAAGGTCATCCTGTCAAAAGCACAATGGACTCAATCATCAGACACAGAATAATCAGCATTTTCAAATAACTAATATTATTATTATTTTAACTGAAACAAATATATTGATAGTGAGAATAATTTGTACTTGCAGCCCCTAGATGAAATTGGGCAACAGACACAAAACAAGAGGCAGGCCAGGACAGGGAACACATTGGAGGTCAAATGGAAAGTGGCAGGAGCAACCTTCCCTGAATTTTACAGATGGTATCTCTGGTATCTAAGATGGTTATCGTGGTATAAAAATATCTTACGGTTACAACTCTAATCAAGAGTTACAGTGTGCTACATCAACAGTAGTTGGCACAGAACCAACCTAATAAGAAAATGTTTAACATTTACAGCCAGGATCAAACATTAAACTTCAGGCAGGATGTTTACAGAGCTCACCTCGGTAATAATTCATCAGTTATTGTCCCGCTTGGCTGAGAATAAAACAGCATTTGTTTTCTTTGGAAATAGTGTTGAGAGGTAAAGACACTACAGTTTCTCTTTTGCAATTGTTTTTTGCCTGATTTTAAATATTGATCTATTCCATTTGCTACTCTTTTCATTTCACACAATTTATCCTTTTCTTTCTATTAACTCCATAGAAGATGCAAATTCAACATATATTGATTAACAGCAACACAAAATACAGGAACACTAGGTTAAAGTCAGTACTGCAATAACAGCTATTTTCATGATCGATTCATTCGCACATTACTGTTCTGATGTATTGTTCCAGCTGTAAAATGTCAGAAAATAGTTTAACAAAAGCCTAAAATGAAATAATCCGATTAGGGCTGCATGATATGAGGAAGATACACAATAATGTTGTTCAGAAAAAACTATATTACTTGTCAGAAATACCTGATGATAAAATGTACTCGGTTCTACATTTATGCTGCTTTCAGTAAACTGCTCAATTACAACAAATGTCTTGTAAGCTTAACATAAAGGGCACCAAAAAAGAATGATATGGATTTTCTGAGTAAGTTCGAAGACAGTATTAGTAAAAAACCATCCTTAAAAATAAAAGTGCAATATTGCAGTCTTCCATGACGTGTTAGCTGAAGTTGACATAGCAATGACAATGAAAAACGATATAATGTGCAGCCCTAATTCAGATTATGTTCCTCTTTTATTATAATCACATTCCCAAAATGTCTATCCCTCTAAATGTCTTTAATAAGAGCCAGCTGCTCCTGTCAGTCCTGGCTCACTTTTTCACCGCGGTAATGCCTAAGGGGCGTTTCTGAACAGCCCAAAAAGTTGTTCCCTTAAAACATACAACAAGCATGACATGACGGCAAGAGACGTCTTCCAGAAAGGAAAGAGATTCCACGGTGAAATCAAATCAAAATGTATAGATTGCATTAGTTCGTTTAAACCACAAATGCATCAAGCTGATCTAATAAACCAGTAAATATATTCACTTAGTCAGAACAATATGATAAAAGGTTTACATCCTTACATGTCACTACATGAATAGATTCACATTAATACATCTTACATTGTCTGTTTTGAGTCAATGCAGACGCACATTTTGAATGTTATCAGTGTCTGTTTGGTTTCACAGTAGGTTTCTAGAAGATGGTTTGAGTAATCAGATCCTCTGATCCATCTCTCTTACTTGTCTTTTAGATATATTTCCCCTATCTTTCCTAACTTGACTCTTCCCTTTGTTTCCCTTTCTAACAGTGGTGACTCCAAGTTACTGGAAGAGGCTGTCATCCCCCTCGCAAAGACCCTCAGTATGTTTCCTATGGTTGAAATATGTTTCATGTCTGTTTTATTCTACTGGTAAATGCATTGATAACAATGGACATCCACTTCTCTTAAGTTATCATAACATTTGTTTCTGCTTCTTGTTTGCATGACAAGCTATCAGATTAAGTTTCTGCATCTTATGTAACGCTGCTCATAATTCCTCTCCTCCTTTCCAAGTTGAAAACAATCCTAGATCGGGGAACTTTGGTGCCCTTGTGAGAATTTTCCTGGGAAGAACCAAAGAGCTGAAAGTCTCTACAGAATGCCAAGAGTAAGTATGAGAACTTCAGATAAGATAATGGATCCTGAAATGACAGACAATGTGTGTGTTGGTGTTATTGTTGGAGCTATTGTTTGATTGCAGGCAGTCAGGGAATCTTACAGGGGAGAAAACACTGAAGTGGTTGTAGCTTCCCATGAGTAAAGTGCTGAGGTTTAACCATCAACACATGTGGCATTATGCTCTCACTGCCAAGCTCCATTTCCACACATTGACCCTGCCCGACTCACCAAAATTGTTTGGGAGGAAACTCGTTCTCTATTTAACATCATTAGAGGTTGGAGTTATCACTCCCCGTCCTCTCCTATTTATTTCCCCCTCATTTCGTAACAGATTTTGTTCCCTAAAAAAACCTAAATGTTCTGTCTCTAACAGGCTTGGGTTGTGCAAATTGTCAATTTGTGGGACTGATTAGACAGAGAGTGGTTGTGAAACATTGTGGCTTGCACTGCATGGATCCAATCATTTCTTGTTTTCCCTCTTTATTTGTTTCCCAGCCACTCTGTCCTGATGTTGTCTCTGTGTGAATACTGTGCAGTTTCATTGTCAAAAAGAAGGTTATGAGAAAACTGCTCATCGGCAGCATTTTTAGTAGTACAGAGAGAGATGCAAATAATATATAGGAACTAAAAAGCAATAAATGCACTAAGACATCACCCTTATTCAAAGTATGCTCCCCTAACTCTGCTCAGTCAATGTAACACAACTACAATGTGACAACCCCATGCTTTATTTATTTGAAGTGGCTCCTTTAGTTTCTAGTTCCAGAAGGGCTTTTTACTACTCAAGTATTCCGAGCTACTCGTGTGTAACCATTTGAATTTGAATGAACATATTACAGAAGAACACTTCAGGGTCATTCACCTTTTCCTTTATGCATTTAGGACATATCAATGTCACAAAGCTAGCCCTTCTTAGCATTTATTTCCATCACAGTTCTATGTTTGACCTTGAACATGACAACCTATTTCTTTTTGTTTGTGCTTCCGCAGTCAGCTGTTTATCTGGCAGGCCCACAATGCACTGTTCATGATTCGCTGCCTGCTCAAGGTGTTCATCAGGGAGATGAGTGAAGAAGAGCTGCACCTACAGTTCTCCTACCAGGAGAGGGCGCCAGGCTCCTGTGCAGGTGAGCGCCGTCACAGATACATTTGATCAAAAAGGAAGGTGCGTCACAGAGAGATGTGCAGTCAGTGAGGCCACAAAATAAATCAACTTGGCAGGATTCAACCACTGATTTGTAGTCACACAACTCATTTTGTTCTCGTGGAGTGACTAGCAGCTGTGTTACAGACGCATTAAGTCAGTTCAGAGATTTTTCTATTCTCTTTTCCACTCCCTTTAGAGTACTTCACACAAAAAAACTATTAAAAACTACTGCTAAAAAATCTTAAAACAGTTTGGCCCTCAGTGGGATCATAAGATGTGAGTTATTAGAATATAGCCACCAGGGTCAAATGTGTAACACTTCCCTTATAAACCTAGAGAGAGATAAGAAATTGGCTTTTTAATTGAGCACAAATACCCCCGGCTACTGACCTGGATCATCTCTCTCTTAGAGACTTCTTTAATACAAGTCTGAAACTTCGTCCACTGACTGCTCATCTTCTTTTGGCATCAAACACTAGGCCTTTCTGAGGAAAGTCATAAACACTCTCCAAACGGGTGGCCTGTTAATAACGTACCCATTTTTGGTTAAAAGCATTAACGGCATTAAAAGGAAAGAAATAAAGTCAGCTTCCTTTTGAGTCATTATTTAGCTGTTTGTTATTCCTGCTACCACCAACTCTCACTCTCACTTTAACTGTGACATTTTCACAAAGACTGCTCTCACAGTACTTTAAGGGTTAGATCTGCTGTGCTGGGTGATTGTTGTAAAAATGATCATTCTGAGACTTGCCTGCAAAATGACACCAAGCTAATTACAGCTGGTTGGAAATGGTGAAGAGAAGATAGTTTAGTGTACAAGGAGGTCGTAAATTAAATCTGCAACAGTCTAAAAATATAATCTTTCCCGCTGTTGGCAGTAATGTTCATTTACAAAATGTTTTGTGCTTGACTGCTGGCTGTCACAAGACGGTATACACTTAAAGAAGGGGAATTGTTGAGAGTTGATTGTATGCTAATTGTTTTTTGAGGAGCTTTAATCAGAGCCACAGGCAAGCACCGTCACTGATGCTAGCTAAAATAGCTCATTACTTCCATAATGGGCAAGTTTGAATTTTATGCAAAAATATAAATGATTAAACATTCATTTGGTTAATCCATTCATTTCCTGCCGCTTATCTGTGTCCAGATTGTGTTAATTTGATTAATTCCATGATTAGGAATTATTGCTCTATACTGCTGGGAAGTTATACAAAATAAATGAATGTAGGCCATTTCATCTCTCCTGGTTTTCCATCATTTCTTCATATTTTGGCCGGTATGATCGTTAAACGGCTCTTACATTACATTCCACTTGATATTAAAAATGTCTGTAAAAGTATTAAATTATACTTGGCAAAAACCAGCAGGAAACCCTGTAATCCAAATTGGCTAATTCCCCTCTGTGCCATTCCTCTGTACAGCAAGCATGAAATAAGGATGATAGGAGGGATGGAGAGAAGGTGGAACTGGAGTTGGAAGAAACGAAAAGAGACTGTGATCAACAGGAAGCTGCCTTACTGTCTCATATAATAACTCCCCCAACCTCTTGTGTAGAAACAGGCAGCGAGGACCTCCTGGAGGAACTGTTGTCCAATCTCATTCACCTGATCGTAGAAGTGCCCCTGCTGTAAGTTGTGTGTGTGTGTGTGTGTGTGTGTGTGTGTGTGTGTGTGTGTGTGTGTGTGTGTGTGTGTGTGTGTGTGTGTGTGTGTGTGTGTGTGTGTGTGTGTGTGTGGTTGAATTACACCCCATTGTGTTTTACATTCACTAAAAAGGTCACACATGCAAGACTGATTCGGAAACACTGAGAAGTTGCATTTCACTCATCCCACACAGAGATTTATTGAATGTCAAAGTGCTAATTCTTCAGAACCACTTGTTTGACATTTTATTATCAGAAAACAGGAACTACATGACATTTTCATGTCGAAACCCAATTTATTTGCCGTTTCCCAGCCCAAACCGTCATTTTGGTTTGCCTTTCGGTGGTTGTTAATGTGTCCAGGATGTTAGTTGTTGAGCAGTTAATGGAAAACACTTTGTGAAAGTTTGTATGTGTAATTCACTTTGCGTGCTCCACTTGCTCATTCACTAACCGAGAGAAGCTGGAGACCATTATGGATTAAGGTTAGGCTCGGATGTCCATGTGTTTCACTTCCAGAGCCGTCAGCCAGACTGACGAGCTGGAGCTCTGAGCTAGCGGAGTGACGCGTAAAGGGACAACATGAAAAGGAAGGGATATGACTAAAAGATGTTTGCGGTGTCGAAAGAAGAGAAAAAGGCTTGAAATGAAAGTTGGATTAGGAGCCGTGCCAAGGAGTGGGAGAGGAGGGAACATAATGATTGAAAAATGGTATCATCCTTTACTCCCCGTGGGCGGTGTGCACGCTAACACTCTCTGCTTTAATGAGGGAATATTTCAGTGTGTTTACTCATCAATGCTGGAATGATCTCCTGCCTGCCACTCTGTCTGTCGCACAGAGGCAAAATCCTCCTCTGCAGAGTCAAAACAAGTTCACACAAACATGACCGACGATGGCATTTTCCTCCACTCATCTTAAACTTTCCCTCCCTGTACCCGTGTCTGTATTGTGTCAGTTTTGATCCTCCCGTCTTTGTCAACCAATCTACTCTCTGTCTCCCGTCTCTTCTGTTGTCTCTGGACTTCAAACCCCAGCTCTCGTGTGAATCCATTCAGCATTCCTACAAGATTCATTGTCTAAGCTTCAAAACTTCCACCTGTTTGTCTTTCCTCCACCACTTTGTTGCTGTTGGCCTGTTTCCTCTGTACGTGCTTCTGGTTTGGATGGAAATATATTTCCCCCAAATCTTTGACAGAAATCTGCACTTGATCTTTTATGTCTTCATTTGACAAGAAAGATTGATTCGGACCTATACAGTTAATCCCCTATTGTTTTCCCACACATTCTTTAACTGAAATGTTTTCTAATCAATTATTTAGGTGCCTTACATTAAAGCTATGCCCTATGGTTGAAGTCTTTACTGTTGTATTAGGTGTCTTTGCGACATACCTAGTGTATTATTTCAGTAACTATCATTTGTAATGACGTAACGTAATTCAAGCCTTGACACAAAGGCAAATACATTTTTAAAGATATCATTTAAGTTTGAACTTTTGGAGGGAGAAAAACAAGCTGTTTTCTTGGGTTTTTGGAAATGTATGATAAGCATTTTTCACATTTTATTGACCAAGAAAAGTATTCAATATGAATACTTTAATAAAATGATTTTTGAAGACCCCGATACATACGTACACAATCAAGTTTAGTGCGAAATGAAATCGGCAAATATTGTGTAAATATGAAAGAAAAACACCATTGTCCTAAGTTTAAAATCTGGTTAATTATTTGAAAGCCATGTTTGTCTGTGTCCAGGGTTACGGAAGCACGTTATCATTAAAAGTAGGAAACACACTTCAATGAAAGGATAGTCATCAGCACTGGGCCACTTTCCATTGGCATCTCCTTTTATACAACATGTCACAGATGCAAATATCCTGCTTCCTAAAACGTAATGAATGAATGTTTTTGATATTTTGAAAGGCTTTTGCTTAAATATCAGGCATTTGTATGTGTTTACATTAAGAATTACATATCTAAACCTTGTCTTCTTACACATGTATCCATCACCTTTTTAAAGTTGTGATCATAATGTATTTGCATGAACTCTTATTGTGTCTTTCTTTTCCTGTAGAGACATCACCTACAGCATCCTGTTTGAAGCGGTGACCACACTGCTGGTGTTCTTCTCCTACCAACTCTTCAACAAAGACATCCTCCGAGATGGATTAATCTATCAGCACATCATGAAAGGACGATGGTGAGGAAAAAGCACACATGACAAGATACTGATATTTAACTGAGCACCACTACCAAGTTAGCTTAAATGAAAGCACAATTGGAAAACAAACCAATAAAGAAAAATGTGACTGCATTACGAGTTGCTCTCACTTACCTCTTTAACTGGGTCATTCACAATCTGCAGGCCAAGACCATTTTGGATCTTCTCCAATCCAACGTGACACTGCCTGATATAGGCTGCTGTTTATATATCCACACTCTGATACTTCTCATCGTGTTCCAAACAATGTCTTCGTGTGTCATTCAGTGATACTAAGGGGGAAAAACAGAAATGAATCTAATAGAACTTTATCTTCTTATCTTATCACTGTGACTTAATCTTCTGTGATTCTGAAAGAATGTAATCCAGTGACTCGTTTTAAAAATGTCGATAAGCTAAATCTTCAGCGTGGGAAAATTGGAGTGTGGATGTAGTATAACTCTCATAATGCTAATACAGTCTGATGTTGAGCTACTTTTAAATGTTTTAAATCCTTTGTTAATTATAATCTTGAAATAGAAATGTTGTAAGCCTGAATGCATTTTGAAGTCTAGTAGTTCTGTTAAGATGGGTCGACAGAGGATGGAAGTCATTTTCTTTTAGGGCTCTTGCAGCATAACACCCAAATGAGAGCACTTTGGATTAACTGCTAATGAGATGGAGAAATGCTTTGGCGTAGCTGTTGTTGGCAAAACAGATCTAAATGGTTTTATCACTGGTCGTTTAAGAAACAATGTGCTGTGTTGCTGGAAAAACTGTGATATTTGGTATACAGATACTCACATTGACACATAATATGGACCACACACACACACATACACACACATACACACACATACACATACACACACATACACACACATACACACACATACACATACACACACATACACACATACACACACACACACACACACACACACACACACACACACACACACACACACACACACACACATATACATATACATATACATATACATACACAAACACACCTGCATGTACTAGAACAAGTCCTATGTCTGGTTCCTTGGTTTTTATTACACTGAGAAAGGGTCGACACCTACTCCTATTAGTGGCAGATAATGAGGCCGACTTGGCAAATGAGCTGACATCTTTTTTCCCCCGCCAGCTCTGATAAAAGGAATAATTTAAATGCCTGTGTTCATATTCTGTATTCAGTCGAGTGCAGTCAGATGTAATTGATGTTTCTGTTGAGCAGGTAAGGGACAGCTTCTAAGGCAGAGTACTAGATAACCTCAGGGCTTTTACTATAATATTCTATAGACACTCACATCATTATTGAAATGTTGGAAGAACTCACTTATTACACCTCTTCTGAAGAGAGCCCCATCTGTCTTTGTGAAACTCTCTTTGCGTTTGTGTCTCTTTTCCTCCAGTTTGTCTTTAACTAGTCGGCTGGTGAAGACCCTGCTCTATAACTTCATCAGGCAGGAGAAGTGTCCGCCTCCAGCGACCCACATCTTTGAGCAGAAAGCCGAAGGAGGCCTGCTCTACGGTCTGGCCTCAGGGGTGGCAAGTAAGTGTACACACATCCACACACAAATAAAACAAAAAGAAACGACAAAAGGAGCAAAAGAAAATCTATATTATTTGGTTTGGTTGAGAAAACATCATTTTTTATATTTGACTGTAGGTCAGCAGTTCCCAACCTTTTTCAACTCAGGGCCCACTTAAGAATCTAAAAAAAAAATGTCGGCCCACATTCAACCATAAACAATACGGAGGCTAAATAAAGTTCTGATTGGTCAATTCAGAACATGTTTTTAATTCAGCAGTACAGACCGCTTTCAAGGACTGTAATGACCGTTGCTAAGGAGGATCAAGAAAGAGAAAGGAAAAGAGGTTCAAATAAAATAAAAAAAATCTTAATAATGAATGTTTTCCACACAAATCATAATGTTTTGCAAATTATTCGGCGGCCCAATTGCAATGCGTTCACGGCCCATTAGGGGGCCGTGGCCCACAGGTTGGGAACCGCTACTGTAGGTAATACGTAATATAGGTAATGTATTAAACTTTGCTACAACGTGGTTTAACTTGAACCCAACATCTATTTTTGTATTTAGTCACTCTTGTTGCTCACAGTTTGTTGTTGTGATGTTGCTATATTCCCCACATGAAAAATTAAACTGGTGAGTAGAAATGGTATCAGAAATTGCAGGAATGATGGTCAACATTCAGAGATTAGTGCCAGACGTTAAGAAGAAACAGAATTTAGTTTTATTTTTATTTATTTTCTCCGTGGAGCCAAAGCGTGGTAAATAAGATTGATATGAGAAATGAAAGCCATGCCGACAGCCATGGCACTGTGGATGAAAGTGATATGTAAAAAAATCTAAAAGAGTGTGTGTGTGTGTATCCAGCTGCGTGTGTGTGAGTTGAATGCATGTTTGTTTGAGTGTGAGAATAGGGCCGGGTTTCCCCTACAGATAAATGCTCTTTGTCGGTTGTTGGTGGCAGATTCCCATCAGTGAGCCATCAGCATTCATCCCAGCCTATCTGTCTGTGGCCAGTGATCGGGCCGATGAGTTGTGGTGCCCTGTCCTGTTCTGTAATCCCCTAGAGCCTGTCTGTCTGCAGCCGCCTCCCTTATACACACACGCACAGATCAACAAAGACACAAGCGCTCTTATGCCCGGAGCTCAGAAACAACACTTGTTTTCTTTCTCCGTCTCTCTGTCTCGGCCATGCACACAGTGGCCAGGGATGGGCAGAGCACACATTTGAATTTGGATGTTGAAAATGGGTGTAGGCAAGAGTGTTGTTCTGTAGAAACAGTACATATTAGTTTAATTTCTTTCATTTTTCAGCATGAGCAAATATTCAGCCAGTTAAAAGGGACTTGCAGCAATTTTACACGAGAAAATCTGTTTACTAGTCATGGTTAGAATATTGTAGGGTTGTACCAATTTTCAATTAAAGCTCTGAAGGTCTGTCATTATATGTAATGATGTCGCCGCCTTAACAACCTTGATTTGATAATTGTAGTTATATAAATGTAGTTTATGGTGCTGTTAGTTAATACAGGTGCATGCTTCTGTGTGTGTGTGGCAGAAAGGAAATACGATTATAAGGTTAAATGCCCAAAAATATGAATTGATGCAGAATATTTCCTAAATTTAAAGGATGTGGATTTTGGAAATCTATCCTTTTTATTAATAACCGTCAACTTGAATGGATTTGTTGCAAAGATTGGACCGCCCAAGTGAAAGCCAATTCTATGAAGCCACCACTGAAAATAAATGATACATATTGTGGAAATTATTATATTAGAACATTTTGGTTTAGTCCTTACAGTTATGTCATATTGTTAGTCTTGGTAGAAGGCCTGTGTTTAAAGCTGTGGATCTACAAATCAGTGAAAGTCTAAACGAGGGACATGAATGCTTTATGAAGTCTGTAAACCCACATACTGTGCACTGGACTAGACAACACTACCACCACAACCTACTTAGCATTCATGCTTTTTATAGCAATCCTTCTTCGTCATGTTAGCAGCATGTAAAAGCATTCATGCGTACACCCTCACATTCATAGACGCTCTGGATTTCCCCCCAGATACAGCACTGGCCATTGGCAAAGCAAAGCAGTGCTTCCTTTCCGTCGCCATGTGAGTGTGTGGGCGGATAGGATGTCTCTTCCTCTCTCGCTTTGACACACTCTGCTGTCTGAGTCTGAACGAGAGTCTGCAGGGGGATTATCACCCAGTCTGGAAACTCCTCTCCTCTCTTCTCCTCTCTTCTCCTCTCCTTTCCTCTCCTCTCTTCTCCTCTCCTCTCCTCTCCTCTCCTCTCCTCTCTTCTCCTCTCCTCTCTTCTCCTCTCCTCTCTTCTCTTCTCCTCTCTTCTCTTCTCCTCTCTTCTCCTCTCTTCTCTTCTCTTCTCTTCTCTTCTCCTCTCTTCTCCTCTCCTCTCTTCTCCTCTCCTCTCTTCTCTTCTCTTCTCTTCTCCTCTCTTCTCTTCTCCTCTTCTCTTCTCTTCTCCTCTCTTCTCTTCTCTTTCTCCACATACACACATTATACTTTGTTGAGCTATGAGTCTGCCTACAAGCAGAAACACATGATGATATCTTGTGTGCAATCCCCAGGTCTGACGTCAAGAGGCTAACAGTAACTCTGCCTCTTCTATGATCCCAATCTACTCTATTGATGGTGACAGTCCCTCAAACACAAACAGCTTTGTATCCTTACATGTATGTGTGTTAGGCATCATCAGCGTAGCTCACGTAACAGAAATGATGCTGCTCACACTGTTAAAGGGTTTGAGTAAATAGATTTTTAGCCCAAGCTTCTTATTATGATTCAGATCATTTGAAATCACTGTCTGGGGAACATTTTCATTTGTTGCATATGTTTTTGTTGGAAGGCTTTTGGACTGGGTTTGGGCGAAAGTGCTTTGAGCATATATTTTCATTTGTGTGAGCATATCGGAATAGTGTGTTTGTTTATTGACTGTACCGCATGTTGTTGTACTTTGTGTGTATATGTGTGCATTGCCAAGGCCTGAAGCCCTCATGGCATATTTCATTCAGTGTTATGCAAGTAAATAAGTAAGGAGCACATTCTGCCTGTCTCTGGTCACCAGGCGAGCGCTGAAGGGTATGTTCTCCGCTCTAACTTTGAGAACATATTCCCCTCCTCAGCCCACTCCTCTGGCGTCTCCACAGACCCCTGAGATGTTGGTGTTCAAGTATGCGGCACTAGTGTCCTTAGAACCTTTGGTGATTTATATATATATACGGTTATATTTTATTCATACTAGATTTACATTTTGGTCTGTTGATCCACTACTTCGGTCATGGCTGTAATATCAACAACAACTGAACGAACCAACTTTTCCATTAGAACAAAGAGTTTCAATTATCCCAATAAATATAATCAAAGGATTGGTGCAAAAATTGGCGCACACAATAATGTTTCCCACATAAAAGTTCCTAATGATTTTAATGATCAGTTCCCTTTTTATTTGCCTCCATCAACCGATAACATTTAACAATTTCTAGAAGCTGGTTTTTCTTGACCAAAACACATGAAAAACAATCACATTCAGCTTCAGTTTGACTTTTGCTTTATTTAGCCTTTACCTTCAATTCTTATACATTGTATTATAAACACAGGCATAGAAGAGTGATCCTTTGTTTTATTGATAATGTATTGTGACACTTTGCAGCTGCATAAAGCTAAAATAATGCAACAGAAAAAAACCTTAATGTTACTCTTAACAGGGTTTGTTCTAATTTAGTCAAACTGAACACATTAAGTACTTTAGCGATTTCTAAGGACAGTAAGGTAATTATATTACCCCAAGAAACAGTGTAATAACAGCAGCATCATTAAGGCCCCCCACTGGGGTGTGTGTGTGTGTGTGTGTGTGTGTGTGTGTGTGTGTGTGTGTGTGTGTGTGTGTGTGTGATTTGGTGTGGGGATATGTTCAGGTGAATTGGATGTCAGGGGGAATATGTGTCTCCAGAAGGGATTGTTTACAGCCTGCGTCTGAATATTTGGAAAGACATTGCAGATATTTGATTGTGTGATGATATATGTTTTGAATATGTACCCATCAGTCGTGTTTAATAGTTCAGTTCATTATGTAAAGCAACACACAGCCTTCTGTCCCTAATCCAAGGCTTTCTCTTCTGTTGCAAAGATTAAACTATGGACTGCTTTTGAGCCTATTTCAATGGTTATTAAGAAGTATTTAATATTATATAGTTGATATTGCATGGAGACCAGGAGAGATGTGTAGGTCATAAAGGCTTTTTAGAGATGAAAATATACATTTCTTATGTTGTGGATACAGGCTCACTAAACTAAGACTTTGTGGGTGCAGTTGAGTTGCGTGTCTCACAGAAAGATGCCTTTGCTGCCCTCCAGTCCTGAAGCCCAGATTTTTCTAATTTAAGCGTGCCAGCCTCCTTGTCCGTGAATGACCTTCTCTTTTCCTCACTCTTCCCTTCCCTTTCCTCTTCATCACGTTGGCCTCCTCCTTTTTGTTTTCCACTGGGCGGCTGGCCAGGGCCGGAGCAGGCCTTAGCAGCGTAGCATTATTGGGTTTATGTGGTGGGCAGGGAGACAGGCAGAGCGAGCCGAGCCAGATGGATAACAAAGAGCACCCTCTAAGGTAAAATAGAGTAGAGCCCTGTGAATGTGTGTGTGTGTGAGAGTAAGTGTGTGTTCGAGAGTGCAGGAAATGTGGCTGCCAGACCGGGCTCTCTGACACGGCTGGGCTAGTCACTGTGGTGCCAGAGATGAGATGAACAGCACTCAGTCATAACTTGGCCCTCTCTTTTTTAAGATAGTGTATCGTGTATGGAGAGAGGATGGCAGATAGACTGACAACTGATGTAATTTCTCATTTAGGGATTTATTTTTTGTTGTGGCTGCAGATTATTGATTATCTTCTTAAATAAAAAAAATCGTTCCACTTTGAGCAACAGTTGCATACACACTTCAAATCAAAAAACAGTGATGGACTGTTAGGATCTTGTACATTTAGAGGCAAACCAAAGTACAAACCACGGATGTTACCAATAATTGAACACAGTCACAAGTTGACGAAAGGAAACTCTGAGGCAGAGCAAGTATTTTGTCATGCATAATTGATGAACAACCAGTCACAAGTTGTTCCTTTGTTCTGTCTGCTTCCTTTCAAAACAAAGAGGACACTGGGATGTGACCTCCCATTATATCCTTGAGTTAATATTGTAATGTATAAGTATGTGAGTGTACGTGAGGAATTTCACCCCGATAATGTTTTGAGCAAATGTCTTTTTGTTTGACTCACACTGTTGATTCAGTCACCAACTGCACTGAGTGTGTCATAGTTAGATCAGGATGACTTTACTCTCACACCACGAAGAGTGTGTGCAAGTTCAGATATACTGATGGGCTGTTCCATACTGCTCCACTAGATGGCAACAAATGTACTTGGCTTCACCTCAAATTCAGTAGCTTGGTTAATGGGAACCTGCTCCACTGTGTTGGTTGGTGCTTTCTGTGTGGCTAGACGTGCAGGAGCCACAGACTGTCATTTGTGTTCTCGGTGTTCGTGCTTCCCGTGACGCCTGAAGGCACCAGCACTTCTGTAGGAAATTCAGCTGCCTCTCATCCCCCAACAAGAGAAAAAATGAACCCCACTCCAGTTTGCCAGTAGTTCCAGTTTCTCTTTGTTCTGTGGCGCCGTCTATGTTGTTTCAAATTTCAGGTGCTGCAAACTGTGGTGTGTGTGACTCCATTGTGCACAGCCTGGCCTTGATTACAGTCTGACTGCACATGCTCGTTTGCATTCGACCAGGGGCGGACTGGGGGGAAAAAGTGGCCCGGGGATTAATTGACAGACAGGCCCACTTAATGCGTGGCATGTATCGGCCGGCCGGCGACGAAAGTATGTTACTTAACAAAAAACCCTATGCATTTTATGTTATTTTGGACCATTATTCATATAGTAATCACATTACCTGAGCCCTTGAGTTGCCTCGAGCAAAATAGTTACAGCATATATTTAGTGATTTTAATGTTAACAGATCATTGATGCAATAACATTTGGACCCAATTTGCCTGACTTGACACATGGAATTGGCGTAGGAAGCATCCTCAATGTCGGTGAGACAATTTAACAGGGGGTGCGGGCAGGTGGTGGACCTCACCTCCTCTAGGGGGGTCCGGGGGCAAGCTCCCCCGGGAAGATTTTTTTTTAAATGTTGAAGTTAAATGCATCAATCTGGTGCACTTTGAGAGCAAAATTAGGGACTAAATCTATGGCAGTCAGTAGGGGCTTGGACTGTGAGCCGTAGCGTCGCCGGTTCAAGTCCCCGACCAGACCTACATTTGGAGTGAGGACTTCTACTTGGAGAGGTCCCAGTTCACCTCCTGCCCTGCCGTGGTGCCCTTGAACAAGGCACCGGACATTCCCCTTCCCCCCTCACTCCCATTGCTCCCCGGGC